ATTATGTATACATTGGTGTGGAAGTGTCTGTTTGAATCTCTGTTTTTAGTTCCTTTGGGTATATGACTAGGAGTGGAATTGCTGGATCATATGGTAATTCTATGTTTAACATTTTAGGAAGTGCCATTTTCCACAGTGGCTGTACTATTTTACATTCCCACCAGAAGTGCACAAGTCCCAATTCCTCCACATACTTACCAGTACTTAGTACCCTTGTCAAAAATCAGCTGACCCCAGGTGTGTGGGTTTATTTCTAGACACTCAATTGTATTTCATTGATCTATATGTCTATCCTTGTGCCAGTACCAAATGTTGATTTATTTGTAATAAGTTTTGAAATCAGGAAATATGAGTCATTTTACTTTTTAAAAAATATTGTTTTGTCTATTCTGGGTTCCTTGCAATTCCATATGAATTTTAGAATGTTTGTCAATTTCTATAAAGAAGTCAGCTGGAGTGCTGATGGGATTGCATTGAACTTATAGATAAATTTAGGAAGTATTGTCATCTTAAGAATATTAAGTCCTTTAATGTATGAACATAGGATGTTTTTCCAATTATTTGGGTGTTTTAAAATTTCTTTCAATAATGTTTTGTAGTTTTCATAGTATAAGTTTGGTACTTCTTTTGTAAATTTATTCCTAAGTGTTCTCTTCTTTTTTTTCATTGCTTTTAGAGAGAGAGGAAGGGGGAGAGAGAGAGAGAGAGAAACATCGATGTGAGAAACATCGATTGGCTGCCATATCATACCTGCCCCAACCAGGGATAAAACCTGCAACCTGGCAACCCCACAACCCTTCAGTCCATGGGATGATGCTTCAACCAAATGAGCCACACTGGGCTAGGCTATTTTATGCTTTTTAATGCTGTTATAAATGAAATATTTTTCTTAGTTTAATTTTTGGATTTTTCACTGAAAGTGTAAAGAGAAATACAATTCATTATTGTTATTGATTGTGTGTCCTGCAACCTTGTTGAATTCATTTATTAGTTATAATGTTTTTTTAGTGGGTTCTTCAGGAGTCTCTATACACAAGATTGTGTTATTGGTGAGTAGAGATAGTTTTACTTCTTCCTTTCTAAACTGGATGCCTTTTATTTTCTATTTCTTGCCTAATTGCCCTGGATAGTACAATAGTAAATAGAAGTGGCAAGAGTGGACATTCTTATCTTATTTCTTCTCTGGTTTCTTGGGGAAAGTATCCAGACTTTCAACATTAAGTATGATATCAGTTGTGGGTTTTTGATACTCGTTATCATCTTGAGGATGGCTGCCTGTTTTTGTAAATAAAGTTTTACTGGAACATAGCCATGTCATCCATTTATGTATTGTCTATTGGTGCTTTGTACTATAATGACAGACTTGAATAGTTGTGACAGAGACCATATGGCCTATAAACCTAAAATATTTATCATCTGGCCCTTTATGACCTAACCCATTGACATCTGTTTTAAGCCACTAAACTTTGGGATAGTGTGCTATGAAATAATACATAACTAAAATAATTCCCCATCTTTGACTGGGACCTCAAAGAACTACAGCATTTAGTAAGGGAGAACTATAAGTAAGCAAACCCTCCCACAGACTATAGTCCAGCTTCAAGTCATCTAGGGGACTCAGAAATTAGAAGCCCTGAAATTGGGTTAAGGTGATTTTATTTTGCTAGTGTCCCCAGATGCCTGCAAGCACAAATGGAAATACTCTGTAGAGGAAGACAGTATCTTGTTGCCTCAAATGATATTTTTAAATGCAGTGTCCAAAACATAACCAGGTATTGATATACGGACATAAGACAATGTGAGAAAGAACTAGTAGCAAAACCTGACAATGGAAGCTGATCCATGGGGACTTCAGATTGGAATTAATGGTCACAGACCATAAAACAACTATACTTACTATGCTTAAAGAGAAAGAGGCCAAGCTTGAAAATTACTGCAGGGCACTAAGAGATATATAGGAAGGGACATAGCAGATCTGAAAAAGAATAAATAGAAATTCCAAAACTAAAAAAATACATATATGATAACCTAATTTAAAAGCTTAATGGGTGGATATAAGAGGAAATTTTTTAAAGCTCAAGAGAGAATTAGTGAACTGAAAAACAGTGAGAAGAAATTTTTTTAAAAAGCATAGAAGGACCAAAGATGGAAAGTACAGAAAAAAGGGTTGTAGCGAGAAGGTCTAACACGTGTTTCAATTGGGGCTCCAGGAGGAAAGAGGAAAAGGTACAGAAACAGTATTTGAATGGCTGAGAATATTTTTAAAATATGTATATATGTATGTATATATGTAGGTATGTATTTTAAAGAGGCAGAAAAGGGCGCAGAGAGGGGGGGGAGGAGAAACATTGATGTGAGAGAGAAACATCAATCAGGTGCCTCCTGTATACACCCCAACTAGGGATTGAACCTGTAACCTATGCACGTGCCCTGACCAAGAATCAAACCAGCAACCTTTTGGTTCAGGGGATGACACTCCAACCAACTGAGCCACATAGCCCAGGCCAAATGGCTGAGAATTTTTCAAAATTGATGAAAAGCTGTTCAAAAGATGACGACCAGCCATCAAATGACAGATATCCACACCACCACATGTTCTGTCTCATAAAACCCTACATCATTCATGTACAAATCTGTCTCTGAAAGGACTTTGAAATGAACATAGAGGTAGCTCTATGGCAGATGGAATAGAGCTTGGGTGGGCTGAGTTAAAGTACAAGCTCTGTTGCTTCCTAGCTCTGCCACCTGGAAAAGATAGTCAAACTTCAGTTTTCTCAACTAATAAATAGGACTAGTAATACTAGCTTACTCCATCTTGCCATTGTGAGAATCAAGTGATAAAATATATGTGAACAAACCTAGTGAATGGCAAGTGCTTTAAAAGTGAGATGTGATTTGGACGGTATTACAAGCATTCCCAGGGCACTAAGAATGACAGGTAGGAACAGCTACATGATTTGCAGGTCCCAGCACAAAATGAAAATGCAGGGTGCCTTGTTGAGAAAGGATTAAGAATTTCAAGGTGGCGACAGAGGAGCATTAAGCCAAGCATAGGCCACATGTCCACAAAGCCAGCCTTGGTAACAAGCCTGGTATAGAACTGCTCTGTACATTAGGAGAGGGTTGCTTAGCCCAAACCCAGCTGTCTTCAGTCATAGCCCATATTATCTTCAAATTCTGAAAGGTAGCGATATTCAGGGAAATTGCAAGCACACACATTTCCAAATGATGAGTAGGGCAAGTGCAGTGACCGGAGTGGCAGTTTGAGAGAAGGGTGGAGCCAGCTAGGCTGCCATTGGAAGTGTGGAACTGACTTTTTACCACAGATTCTGCCTAAGGAAAAAAGCCTGTACGACATGTACAGGGCCTGCTGTTGTTTGCAGCATGTGTTACAGCACAGCCTGGCAGTCTTCTGGGGCTGTCTTCTTTTTGGTAGAGCCTGGTCCCAGCTTGTGACAAGGCTACACAGCCCTGAAGATTTGTCCACACTGCTCCTTGTTCTTCCCTCAATTACTAGGCTTTTCTAGGTCTGTATCGTTTTTGCTCATATTATCCTCCCACTGCCTGGGATTCCCTTTCCTTCTTCTTCCATATCCCTCCACCTGGCAAACACAATCTTTTAAGATTCAACTCTGGTATCACCTCTTCAATGATGCCTTCCCTGCCTCTCCTGGGAGGGGCTGATTCCTCCCTCCTTGTAACAGAAGGAGTACTGATATCACTGTCTCTTAGGCTGAAGTTCTCAATGTCTTCACACATAGCATAGTAGTTAATACCTGCTGTTAGTATATCTTTAATCAGTTGGTGCTATTATGCAGAGTTGTTTCTCTTTTTTAAGATTTCATTTCTTTACTTTTAGAGAGAGGGAAGGAAACATCAACGCGTGGCTGCCTCTCCTGCGCCCCCCACTGGGGACCTGGCCCTGGCCCTGCAACCCAGGCATGTACCCTGACTGGGAATTGAACCAGCAATCCTTTGGTTCATAGGCCAGCACTCAATCCACTGAGCCACACCAGCCAGGGCAGTGTCCAGCCAGGGCCGTGTCCAGCCAGGGCAGTGTGCAGAGTAGTTTTAATTACCATTGTCTTGCTGAATTAATGCATGAATAAATTGTTTCAGTACTCTTCCTGGCATCTGCTTAAAAGAGAATCTTCTAGGGTCGGAGGCAGGGCCTTGCCCTTAAGGGGGTTTCAGTGTTGGCTCTAATTGTCTTTGCTACAGGCACTGACTCTTGGAGTCTGGAAGGATGGTTCAAACTGGCTCTTCATAAAGACCTAAGTGACCAACGTGATGTAGTACAGAGAACACTTCTAGAGCTAAGAGATGTGACTTCTAATCTGGCTACGAGATCTTAGGTTTCCTTAGATAACTATTAAGTCCTATAGCTACGGAACTTAAGGTTTGTTTCCTCAAAAAAAGAGGGGATTCAGCTAGTTATTCCCCAAGGCCCAGAAATCTCTACAGGAGCCACTCAGAGGTGGCCATCTACTTGGAGGGGACTGGGCAGCTCTCGAAGCTGAGTTTCCTCAGCAGGGCTGCCCTTTGGGGAAGAGGTGCTCGTAGAGAATACGAACATTTTTTTAAGGTCCTTTGCTGTCTCAGTCACCTGAGATCTCATGTTTGAAAGATTTGTGAAGTCAACTAGCTTGTTCAGGCATTACTTCCTCTGGAGGTAAGGGAAGGGGGGTGAGTGTGTGTGCGTGTGTATATGGAGATGGGTGGTCGGTCAATTTCCTCCATCCTTTCCCTCCAGCCCCACAAAGGGCTAGCGCCAGACACGTGGGCTGGCGTGAAGGGGCGGAGTTTACACTAAAGCGGAGGTGCAAATAGACAGGGGCGGGGTTTATTTGCATGGACGACGGAAAGCCACCAATCCGGACACGCGGAGTGACACCCCGCGCGCTTTTTGGGGGAGGACTGACAGCTCCAGGGACCAATAGAAAGCGGATCCTGCGGAGGCAGGGGCGGGAAGGCGCCGGGCGCTGTCCCGGGGATTCGGGCCGTCTCGCTGGCGCTGCCAGTCTCGGGCGGCAGCGTCCGGCGCGCGGGCGGCTTGGTGGGCGGGCTGAGGGAGAACGGCGCGCGGGTGAGGCGGAAAGAGACGGAGGCGACTAGCAACAGCGGAGACAGGTACCGGCGCCAAGGCCGCAGGGATCGGGCGGGCCGGCTGCGGCTCCCCGGGATCCGAATCCCTTCCTTAGCGTTCTGGGCGCTGCCGCGCCACCTCCCCGCCCCCTCACGCGGCTCCCTAGCTCGGGAGCGGCGCGTCTGGGCAAGTGGGGCCCAGGAAGCCTCCAGGCCAGAGCGGCGGAGGCCCCTAGCCCCGTTGAGGGGCCCCCTGTGCCCCACCGGGCCGCGAGGCCGGTGCTCCCTTCGGGCGGCCACGGGAGCCGCTCTCCGCCCCGTCGTGCTGCTCTTCGCGGAGGCGAAGCCGGTCGCACCCGCTTGTCCTCACCCGGCTTTTGTTTCCCGTCCGGGTTGACAGGTCCTGGCTCCGGCTCCCGTCGTCAGTCTCCGACTCGCCCGAGGGCCGGCGGCGGTGACCGCAGCCGCCCGGAGCGGGCGACTGGACCCGCGCAGAGCCGGGCGGCGCGTGAGCGGCTGGCGCCGCGGGAGGGAGAGAAACTTAGCCGTACGGGGCCCGGGCGTCAGAAGTCGAGCCGGGGTGAGCTGTCCGCTGGGACACGGAGGGCGCGATAGAGCCTCGCTTACCAGGAGGGGCTCGTGGGTGGTGAGGATAACGGAGTGTCCGGCTGCTGCACTCCTTGCTTTAGGTTTGTGCTTCCCAGATGGTGGGTCTGGAGGCGCGTTCAACGCCTTCACCTGCCGCGCTGGGACAAGTGGCTGGGAACAGCATCCCAGCTTTCAGGCCCTCTTGGAGGGTGCCAGTGCGGCGCCAATTCTAACAGGTGATTATTTTCATGCCACCTGAAGTCCAGTTAAAAGTTGTTTTAAGGTTCCTCATTCAGTTTGTTCCTTGCCCAGTATTGATGTCTAAAAGATGTCCTGGCTATAGTGTAGGAGTTAAACCCAGTGTTGATTATACAAAAAAGAAAAATTAGGGGGCGGTCAGCGTATAGGTTGATGTCTTCCGATTGGTGAGCCAAGAGGAATATTTTAGTCTCATTAAAAAAAAAAATCGTTTTCTGCAGTGGTGGTGAAAGCATAGTAAGGTACAAGTTGTAAATGGAGAACTCCAAGTATCCTTCAGTGTGGTTCGGGGGAGCCTATATACATCGTTTAGCCACCATTCAGTAAATTCTGCGTGAAGCGGTTTGAGCTGGCGGTTTTGGATTTATTTTTCAGGAGTATTTTTTACAGTGGCATAAAGCTTAGCTTTGAATGGGAACTTTCTTTGCCTCTCTGATGGGAGACAGGAGTGTTTATCCTTATTGTCTTATCATTTTGGTACCTTGTGGACAAGATAAAAATTGAGGCAATATTTTGGTATTTTTAATACTCTATGGAGTTGTGCTGCGCCCCGCCACAAGGGTTTTTTATTTTAGAGAATTATAGTAGCTTTTTCTCTTGCTGTTGGAGTCAAAATTCAAGAATAGACTTAAAAAGTTATTGTATTGTTCTTGTGGGAAATTTTCATTTATTTGTCATACTTTCCCTCAGCGTGTTCTGTTTGTCTCTCTCCCAGCTGACCTCCCTTTAACAATCTACAGTTGTGGCCCTAACCAGTCTAGGACATCTACAGAAAAAATACTTGATAATATATGTTATTTTAAAAATATATAATTTAAATGAGGGTTATTAATGACACTCGTTTGTGAGAAACATGAGTTAGTTTACTCATTTTTTCCCCTGTGTTTTGTTTTATCTCTGTATTGGGTATGACTTATACTTAATTTAAGTTTAACTTCATAAGAACAAATAATTTTTATTAATTATGTTATCTTATTGGTGTTTCACTGAATGGTGAAACTTACCTAATTAGCAACACTATTTAAAGCAGAACGAACTCCAACCAAGAGACTAGTTGTGACTGGGACTTAAAAAATAATCAAGGATGGTCTTTGTAAAATGTTTTATTTCTCTAAAACAACAGGCTTATATGTTATGAGGGCTTTTGTTTTTCCAGCATTTAACAAAACATATGTTTCTGAGTAATTTTTTTAGTTTTAGGAATTTGGGATAAATGTCCTTTTAAAACATAATTTTAACCAGTTCAACATGAAAAACTTAAATACTGGGTTAGACAACTAATTAAATCTTAAATTTTCTGTTTATTCTTGGATTGGAAAAGAATACATATCTTGGGTTATTTTTAGTTTCCTAAAGGTTTCTTAGCTTAGATGGAATCAGACTAGAAAAGAAAGAACACCCTCTTTCTATAGCTGTAGAAGTTATTTCTATTAAAAGCCGAGTTGGCTTTTTGACCCTGAGGGAATATTGATTGGACAGTGGCTCTTCTTGATGTAGAGTGGTTTTTTCCCTATATAACTAGTTGTAAGGAATCACATTAAGCTTGAAGAATATATCAGTTTAACTACTGTCAATAATTAGAAGTTTTATAATCTTTATTCTGTAATAATGCTTAAGTATACCACATAAAAATTAAAGTTATATTTTACAGTTTTATTTATACAAATGCATATTTTAGGAACTTTAACTATAAAAGTGCCTTTTATAATTAAAAGCCCATTTTCAAATTCAGGTTTTAGATATTTTAATTACTGATTTTTGTCCATTTTAATTTTTGATAGACTATATCATAAAACTATCGACCACATTTCAGTTTCAAAATTTAGCATAAGTTGAATTCTCACATCTACACAATAAACATTGGGAGTATTTGTAGGTCATTTACCTTCAGGTGTGGGTCTATTTGAGTTTGGGAGTAAATATTTTTGAGTGAATAAAGCCACAAAAAATAAGGACATATCAAAATAGCCAAATTTGAAGATAAATCAAATGACATTGATAGACATTAATACTGCTTTATTTAACAGCAATATACATATTAACCTGGCATTAGGAATATCCACTATAGGCCTTTTATACAGCGTGGGGCAAAAGTAGGTTTATTGTTGTGATTACCCAAAACAGAGTTTATTCTTCTATCATTATTTATTGTTGTATATTTTCCATCCAAACAATTTAAACCTACTTTTGCCCCACCCTGAAAATCTTCACAATTCCTAAAGAAGAGTCTGTATTATTCATATTTTGGCACACTAAATCCTGTAATTATTTATTGCTAAATAATTAGAATGTATATTTTATAATTTTGAAAATGAGTTTTCTACCCTCGCTGATTAGTAATTAGATAGTTTTTCCATTATTTCACATTTCTGAATTTTTCTGCAGTGCATTTTTAATTGTTGACATTAATCTCCCAAATTGTAAAGAAAATCAAGTCAACACTCATCAGACTGGGTGGACAGTGGTATGTATATCCCATAACTGTTGATTTTAAAACAGCGCCATCAGTGTGATTCAGTTTGCTTATAAGATGTTCATTTATTGTGTAAAAGACAATTCAGCCAAATGAGACAGGTTAGGATGATTTATAGTGGGGCCTATATACCCTTGTAACTGTAATCTCTGTAGCTCACAGGTTACTTAGGATATTTTAGCAGTATTTGAAACACTGAAATTCAAATATGTACTGAAAATAATTTGTACCTCATACTTTGTTAGATGAGAATTGACCTATATTCTGCTGAAGCTTAAACATGTAAGACTATAGTCCTCAAAAGGGGCAAATTCATTTTATGCTAAATTTAGTATTTAATTCTAGTCTTATGGAAAACATCTGGTTAATGAGAGAGAAGAATCACCAGAGGGACTATGAGGTCTGCATATTTGATATACCTGTTTTCTACCCTTGGTCTGGAAGAAAAACACTTTAAAGATAATACAATTTTATTTAGTTCTCAAACGACGAGATAAAAGATATTGAAAGTAAGTTGGGAATTACAGCTGTTTGAAACTGCTGTCATTTTTGAAACAGTTATTCAAGGCTGTTTTCTTTTAGAAAGAGGCACAATAATTAAAAAAATGAAAATGTATTTTCAGAGTGAAAGGATGGATTTTTAAGTAAACAACTGCACATCTGTGAAAGTTATGGAACATCCCAATACTAAGAATGTTTTTTAAGATTAAAAATGTACATTTAAATTGTATATTTTTGAAATTGCTCATTTTTTGGAAGAAGGAATAAAAGATGAAGAAAGATCAAAGCCTAGAAGAGGGTTTTTTCCTCTTTTGCAGTTGGAAAGCCTTCCTAAAGCAGGTGGCGGTTAATTCTAGAACCATACGTAATATTCTGCCTTCATCTTTGCAATTTATAGATGATACTAAATGAGAAGCCACTCCTAGTGCCCTGAAAATGACCATCTGATTATCAGAAGCAGGGATGGGAATTTCAGTTTGATCTCTTCAAAAATAAGATTTGCACATGTTTCTTTTTTTTAAATCCTCACCCAAGGATATGTTTATTGATTTGAGAGAGACAGATAGAGACAGAGACATTGATTGGCTGCTTCCCCACCTCCACAGTGCAACAAGAGATCAAATCTGAAACCTAGGTATGTGCCCTGGTGCCCTGACCAGGTGGAACTTGCAACCTTTTGGTGTACGGGACAATGCTTCAACCGACCCGCCTGGCCAAGGCTACACATATGTTTCTTTCCTCTGTAAATTAAAGAACCTCCTTTACTGTCGGCTGAAAATTACACAGTTGAATTTGAAAGTCAAAATGTTTCTATTACAGAATTAATGCTGCAGTGAATTACTTTTAGGAATGGAGAAAATATATTCTGAACGAGGAGAAAATATATTCTGAACGAGGATAAAATAAGTCTTTACCCATGTTAAATATTAACCAGTGGAATTATTTCCATGTTTAACTTTTTCAAAAAGCAAGACAATAAAATAAAATCTTGTAATCTTAACACAGTTTAGGTTTTGCCCCTTGCTTAAAAATTATTACACAGTGGAGGATAACATTTAATGTTTAGAAATTCTAGTTTGGGAAGGGGATTTGTTATGAGAAGAAGGTATTTTATTGAAGCAGAACAGTAATTTATGTGGAGAGAAATTTGTTTCTCTTTTGAATTATTCTTAATACATAATACTTACTAAGAAAAATTGAGATGTCATCTTTTCCATCTTCTATTTTCACTGTGAACTTCATAAATTCTTTTAATGATCTTTATTGGTCCTTGGTGGACTTCTCAGAATCTGTTCAATTACATATCTGTATGTATGTGTGTGTATACAGTTGACCTTTGAACAAGGCAGGGGCTTGGACCCCTGGCCCCCACAGCTAAAAATCGGAGTATATTTTTTGAGTCCTCTAAAACTTAACTATAGTGGACCCTTCACATTCATGGGTTTCATATCCATGGATTTAACCCACTGCAGATCCAAAGCAGTATTTTCAACCTGTCGTTGGTAATCTGCAGATGTGGAGAGCTAACTGTTCTAATAGCTGGCCTTTGCATTATTGATAGCATAAACATTTTATTAACACATAATTTCTATGGTTTGTACAACATAAACTGTGTTCTTAGAATAAACTAAACTAGAGAAAAGAAAACGTTAACAAAGTCATAAAAGAAAATACATTTACTGTATTTACTGAAAAAAATCTATGTACCATTGGACTTGTGTAGTTCAACACACCTGTGTTCAAGTCAACTCTATGTATAT